GTGTTTAAGCATATGGAAAACAGACACGGGCAGATTCAGTATTCACTGGTTGCCCTTCAGATACTACCCTATGTCTCTGTATTTTCTTCAGATCTCTGTTCTTCTTGCCTAATATTTCTAATCCACACGCTCCCACCTCGGGATGTCTGAACCCACTGAGGCTGGACCCTGACAGATGTCACCCCAACGTGTGGCTACAACACTTCCTGCTGCTAGACCAGCTCCCTGCCAGCTGAGCTTCACCTCAGCCCAGTGTCAACTGTTTAACCTCCATGTTCACTGCTCTGTTCCTCTTTCCCTCTATTGGTTGTTATCTCAGTTGGAAAGGGTTACTTTTTTTTTTTTTGGCTAAGACTTTAAAATTTTCATTCAAGTGTGTATTCAAAGGTGTCCATTATACTTTTTTTTTTTTTTTTTTTTTGGTTTTTCGAGACAGGGTTTCTCTGAAGTTTTGGAGCCTGTCCTGGAACTAGCTCTGTAGACCAGGCTGGTCTCGAACTCACAGAGATCCGCCTGCCTCTGCCTCCCGAGTGCTGGGATTAAAGGCGTGCGCCACCACCGCCCGGCTCCATTATACTTTTTTAATGATGGCTACTTTAAAATCTTTATGGAAGTCGGGAGCTGTGCCGCGTGTGTTACTCCTCATTCTCAGGTTAGGGGTGAAGGATAGGATTATATGTCCAAGACCAGTCAGTCTTGGCTAGATAGTGACATTGTAAAAACCCGTTTAAAATAGTAAGAAAATTTTAAAAAGCCCTGTCAGTTCCACCACCTCTGCCATCCGGGGGTTGATGTCCATGGGAGATTTGCTGGTTCTTGTGAGTTATTGGCAACTAAGACACAGACATTTGGGGTATGATATAGACTCTAGGTTTATTTAAACCTTTGTTGCAGCCAGTCTACTGCCTTTTCTTGACTTTGTCTTTTTGGTTTTTTTTTTTTTTTTTTCAAATTTTAATTTCATCTACCTTCAGGTTGAAAGCCTTGAGTTCCATTTTCCTCTACGAAATCTTCAGGCTGTTTAGCAGAGGAAGGGGGGGGGCGGCTATCTATCCCTGTCAGGGAATAACTACTTTTCTGATGCCCTAGCTTAACCAGTGAAGTATTCCTTCAGGTTTAATTTCTTCAGAGCAAGACACCAGCTCCCTTGTTCCCTGTGAACAAATGCCTAGCTTTCCATTTCAGACTTAGCCAGGGGCTTCCTCTTCTGATGGAGGAGGGAACTCCTAGGGACTCTTGTCTCTCTCGGCTGGAAACGTGAGCATTTACTAAACCCCTTCCACCTCCCCATATGTGTGGACTATCTCCATCCGAGGAAGCCTGAGCACTGGGTGAGAACACAGGACCAACACCCCACTTTCCCTGCCGTGCTGCTGCTTGTGTGTGAGCCCCTACGGGAGCCCAGAGCAGCCTCCCCTTCCCAGTTCTCAGCCAATCCAATCAGCAGTCATTGACTAAATCCCTCACACACGTAAGGCTGTCTGGGCGCTGTAAGGGGGAAGTAGTTTTACGATGACCATACTCTACTTTTAAAAAAGCACACATGATGGTACAGCACTCAGGAGGCAGAGGCAGAACTCTGTGAGGCCAGACTGCCCTACAGATACAGTTCCAAAACAAACAGGTCTACACAGAGAAACCCTGGGGGGGGGGGGGCGGGGAGAAAAAGGAAAAGCCAACCTGCATCTGGAGAGAGCCACAGTGAGACCAAAGTCAGGGTGAGAAGCAGGTAACAGTGTGAAGAGCGACAAGGTGACATTTCCTTCTGGGGGGACTGAACTGAAGAGGGTCTCGGAGGAAGCTGACTTTGAAACCCAGCCTTGAAAAGAGGGCAGAACTTTCAGGATAAAGGTAGAAGGGAACAGCATTCTGGAGGGAAGGAACAGAGGCTCAGCAGTACAGAAGGCAAGAGTCAGGTCCAGAGAGCAGACAGTTGTGGAATATTATTTTAACTAGGTAAAGATGCATTACATTTCCTTATGCTGTGGAATATTACTTTAACTGTGTAAAGCTGTGTTACTTTTGTTTATGCTGCATGTGTTTAGATATGTAAAGATGTGTTGCATCTGTTTCGCCTTGCCTGCCTAAGGCACCTGATTGGTCTAATATGAAAAGCTGAGGGACCTAGCCGGGAGGTGGTGGCACAGACCTTTAATCCCAGCACGTGAGAAGCAGAGGCAGGCGGATCTCTGTGAGGCCAGCCTGGTCTACAAGAGCTAGTTCCAGGACAGGCACCCAACCTACAGAGAAACCTTGTCTCGAAAAAAGCAAAAACAACAAAGCGGGGAGGGCAAAGGCTGGGCAGGAGAAAGGATAGGCAGGGCTGGCAGACAGCAAAAATGGAAGAAAAGGAGAGGGAGAAGAGAAGAGAAGAGAAGAGAAGAGAAGAGAAGAGAAGAGAAGAGAAGAGAAGAGAAGAACGGAAGGAAGGAGAGGAGAGAACGAGGGAGATGGACAGGACCCAAATAAGGAATCTGACAGCCACCAGACACAAAGTAAGACATACATAAAGGAAGAAAGAAATGAAAAAAAAAAAAAGGCCAAAGCAAAAGGGAAAGAGAAATAGATTAATTTAGGTTAAAGGATCGAGGCAGAAATGAGCCTAAGCAAGGCTGAGCATTCATAACTAATAAGAAATCTCTGTGTCATGATTTGGGAGCTGGTTGGTACAGAGGACAGCACAGGGCTCCCATGTGCAGGAGGAAAGAGGGGCCCCTAACATCGTCTAATAGTATGGCTGGAGACCCACCTCTCCCAGCCAGCAGCGAGAAGCACCCAGATTTACCCAGAGGTAAAACCAGAGCTGGGGCAGAGGGGCTGGTGGTAGCTCTTCCCCTGTCCTCCAGAGGTCTGCCTGGCAAATTTCAAAAGTTCAAGGGGTGCAGGTTTCTTCTTTTCCTGTGAAATTCAATGCTTGCATGTGCTCATTTGGGGAGTGTTTTATGGTTTGGGTTCCTAGGGTTTTGTTTTAGGGTGGGTTTGTGGGGGCTGAGTCTCCGCAGTGTATCCCAGGCTTGCCTTGAGTCCCCATTTGCCTTTCTCATTGTTATGAATGCACCATGCCCACAGCCGGACTCTGAGTTCTTCATCTTTTCTGGACTGAACCAGTTTAGAATCCTTCCTTGCCTCGGTGTGTTGTCCACTACAGCCCTCTATTACAATACATTCACTTCTTCATTCAATTATCAGAGCTGGATAGTGCCAAGCTTTGTTGCGTGGCTTCGGACACGTGTGGATGACACCTTAAGCTGTAAACACAGTCGTCTCACCTCTGCGGGAGCCAGAGCGAATCCTCAGAGCACTTTGTTTGCTGTGGGATCACTGGGCCTGCTCCAGCTGCTGTGCCGTGCCAGCCTGCCCAGGAATAGGTCCTGCCATCAGCGTGTCCTTCTCCGCTCTCTCCAACACCGCTCAGCCAAGCAGGCTAGAACCATTTGAGTCCTCCCAGCCTTGGAAGGCGGGGCCTGCGTGGGGCGGGCCCTACGTTTTGGGCGGGGCCTATGGATGGTTGCTTGCTGGGCGGAACCCGGGGCTAAAGCTAGGCCTCTCAGGACGGGGGGGGGGGGGGGGGGGGGGGGGGG